ATGAACTACTGTATTTTCTGGAGTCTTTTAATCCAATTCCGCGGCATCTGCCATTGTTCGGCTTTTAGAGACAGATACTGTCAGAGGGACGGCTTTGGAGCTCGGCTACCCAGAATTTCTTGGTAGACAGCGACATCCTGTGGCTTCCACAGGTAATGATAACATGAATTTATCTCCTCAGTACGTCGGTTCTTTCTTTTACGAAGTATTTTCTTTCCCTTTATCATACTTTAATAGAACATCTTTAACTTTATCAAATGGAGAGGCATTATACCGTCTTGCTACTTACAATAATTTAGTTTCATCTAGTTACCTCTTTCTTCGAAGGAAAGGAGTTTCTTCCTAGTATTTTTAAAATTGGTATCAATTAGCAATAAATTTAAATACGATCTAGATATGTCGTGGATATCAGAAGTCATGGATATCCTTCCATGGATGTGGAAAGAATACGGTCGCCGGAAATAGTGATATATATTACTCTTAGATGAGCATATAATTGTCACTTTTCTATATTTTATCTTCTTGTAGATTATTGTTAAATTTATGCTTTTCTTTATTCAATGTCAAATATTGTAAAGTTTTACTTACTAATGAAAAAATATAAATGCATATTCTTTACAGTATTTCTTGATATCTCTGCCACTTGCCCAAATAGCTCTCTCACTTAAAATACTTTCCTTCAGATATTTCTCTGCCACAACACGCCCTAGCAATATTTCTACCTTTGGCTTCTTTGTTAGGTCTTCTTTCTGCTGCTAAAAAATAGAGATATTTTCCAAAGGCATGCCTTTGGCTGTATTTTTTCTCTATCCTTTTTTAAGTGTTTCTATTTCTATACCTTCAATTTAGCTTATTATTTGAAGTATTCTTAAATCTATATCTCCAAACTCCTATTTTCATTTTCTACATGACATTTTTACCATTATACCCTAAAATCAGCTAGAAAACAAGTTGACCAAAATCAAAATAATATATGATTAATAATCACCCCAAATCAAAATCTTTTTAAAATCACAATTCTTTACCATGGTCATCTACAAACATACTATGCATATTTTTATGACTTCTTTTTCTTGCCTACCATATTTAAAGTTTGCATACATCTCAGTTCTCCTTTCATATACCATAATTTCATTAATATGTGATAATTTCATGAGTACAGCTTTCATTGGATGGCAGTAAAATCTATATTGAGTCTGTCTTTCTATTGACCAACTGTTAGGACTTTAGATTCACATCTGGGAGATATTATACATGAATATGAGACAATCCTCTCAGTAACCACCTTCTAATATGCATTATATTTTACAGAAATATGTTGTCTCTCCCTCAACACACTCTTTGTTCAAAATTTTCCCTCTATGATGTCATCTTTCTCTGTCAAAGTCCACCTTTTGAGGTACATTCTCTATATATTCATCATGAATGTCTACATAATAGGTGATTAAACGTTCCTTTGAATTTCTACAAAATCTTTACAAAAAACAAGAAGAAAATAAAGGTATTTTATGGGAAACTACTTAAATTTGTCCTCACATTTTTCAAATACCATTTCTGTAGTTGATTCTAAAGAATAGCAAATTTTTTGCAAAGAAAATGGCATTACTCAATACCTCTGTGAGGGACTTTTTACCAACAGGAAAAAAAATTCCATAGCCAGGACAAAAGTCAAAGAGTTTGAACATCTGAAAACTATTTTAGCTTTTAAAAAAAAGTAATGAGGACTGGTGAATATAGATTACTAAGGAAAATACTCTATCAATATCTAGCATTTTCCAAGATAAATGGGATTTTTAAAAATTCTTTAAAATATGCTATGAAGATTTTATGAACAATGTATGCATGTAAGCATAAAAGAAAATAAGTAAAGCAAGAAAAACAATTATAATTACCATCACTGAAAGTCTAGAATAATTATAAATCTTTTCCCAAAACTAAGTATTATTTCAAAAGGAGCTGCAATTTGGTCTGTTTATGGTGAATGTGAATTTACTTCTCACTAGTAAATAATTCTATTGATCATTAAACAAGTTCTTGAGTTTTGTTGAAAACAAAAAAAAGCAAGATATCCAAAAATAAAATTTCTAAAGAACCAAATTATTTGTAAATTTTTAAAAGGTGGCATCACAGCTCACAGCAACATCAAACTCTTGGGCTTAAGCAATTCTCTTGACTCAACCTCCCAAGTAGCTAGACTACAAGTGC